CAACGCAGTCTGCCATTTTTTTCCCCCCTTTTCCTTAGCTGTGCTACTCCCTTTTATTCTATTGGCTTTTGAAAGCCAATAGAATAGACTCTCTTGAATAGAGTCTAATTCTATTGGCTTTCAAAAGCCAATAGGAATTGTCCAGGCTGTCTCTGCCCTGCTGAGCCCGCCAAAAGTCCCATTCTGCAAACGGTGCTGCCCCAGTTGAGTAGTCCTCGACTTACGACCGGTTGAGTAGTCCTCGACTTACGACCGGTTGGGGGCCACGGCATTAAAAAGGTTGAGAACCACTGGTTTAAATTGAGGTGGGGGGCTGCATGGGGCCCCTCTCTACCAGAGCAATGAGTGACAGAAGGGCTGGAGATAGCATGTCCCTACCTCACCCCGCCCGTGTCTGATTTTCCAAGCTTCTTTGGAATCCCCAAGGCTGGGGATTCTGGGAATTGAAGTCCACAAGTCTTAAAATGGCCATGTTTGGAGACAGAGAATTCTGGGAGTTGAAGTCCACGAGACTTAAAGTGGCCAGGTTTGGAGACTGAGGGAATTCTGGGAGTTGAAGTCCAAGAGTCTTAAAGTGACCATGTTTGGAGACTGAGGGAATGCTGGGAGCTGAAGTCCACGAGACTTAAAGTGGCCAGGTTTGGAGACTGAGAGAATTCTGGGAATTGAAGTCCAAGAGTCTTAAAGTGGCCATGTTTGGAGACTGAGGGAATTCTGGGAGCTGAAATCCACAAGACTTAAAGTGGCCATGTTTGGAGACTGGGGGAATTCTGGGAGTTGAAGTCCACAAGACTTAAAGTGGCCACGTTTGGAGACTGAGGGAATTCTGGGAGTTGAAGTCCAAGAGTCTTAAAGTGGCCATGTTTGGAGACTGAGGGAATTCTGGGAGCTGAAATCCACAAGACTTAAAGTGGCCATGTTTGGAGACTGGGGAAATTCTGGGAGTTGAAGTCCACAAGACTTAAAGTGGCCACGTTTGGAGACTGAGGGAATTCTGGGAGTTGAAGTCCAAGAGTCTTAAAGTGGCCATGTTTGGAGACTGAGGGAATTCTGGGAGCTGAAGTCCACAAGACTTAAAGTGGCCATGTTTGGAGACTGAGGGAATTCTGGGAGTTGAAGTCCAAGAGTCTTAAAGTGGCCATGTTTGGAGACTGAGGGAATTCTGGGAGTTGAAGTCCAAGAGTCTTAAAGTGGCCATGTTTGGAGACTGAGGGAATTCTGGGAGTTGAAGTCCACGAGACTTAAAGTGGCCATGTTTGGAGACTGGGGGAATTCTGGGAGTTGAAATCCACAAGTCTTAAAGTGGCCAAGTTTGAAGACAGGGAATTCTGGGAGTTGAAGTCCACGATTCTTTTAAGTGGCCAAGTTTGGATCCCTAATCCTAACCCCTAGAAAAAGGGAGCTATGGCGGTTCCCCTGAATCCTGCTGCCAAAATGGAGAAAAGATGGAGGACCGGCTGTGCAGCTTGCCACCATTTCATTTCCATGCAGGCCTCTCCTGGCTTTTCCAGAGGAGGCATTATTTTTCTAGCTTGGAAACCGGTTCCTGGTTCAAAATCTCTGCTCCTTCCTCGCACGGGGCTGCAGCTCGGAGGGGCCGAGAAACATTGCTTGCAAACTGAGAGAGGGCAGAGAGCAAACTTCACAAAGAGCCCAGGTGGCGCAGCAGTTAGAGTGCAGTACTGCAGGCCACTTTAGCTGACTGTGTTCAGCAGGTCAGCGGTTCAAATCTCACCGGCTCAAGGTTGACTCAGCCTTCCATCCTTCTGGGGTAGGTAAAATGAGGACCCAGATTGTTGGGGGCAATGTAAATATATATATACATTGCTTACTGGTGTACACCACTTAGAGAGTGCTTGCACTTAAAGCGGTATATAAGTCTAATAAATAAATAAATAAATAAATGGTCAAAAGAAAGTCAAGATGGCCATTGCAGGTTGTGCGGTGTGCGCAAAAATGACCCGAGGTTTTGCACGGGTGTGGGTGGGTTGCCATCCCCGATCCAGTGGAAAACCCCTTCAAACAATCTTTCCCTTTTTCTGTCCCAGGTGGCGCTTTGGTAGCATTCGCACCTACAACCCAGAGCAGATCATGCTCAGCGCCGCCGTCCGGCGGTCCAGCCGGGATGTCAACATCATGAAGGAAAAACTCATATTTTCAGGTAAAAATTGAGGACACTGATGTCAGCTGACTTGCAATTGGATTGTGGTATTGTCGATTACTCTGCGTGCGGGTTTACCTGCCAGATTTAGCCATTTGGTTGCGTGACAGGTGAGCTTTTTTAAAATTACAGCTGGTCCTCGCTTAACAGCCATCCGCTTAGCAACTGTTCAGTTACGACAGTCCTGGAAAAACTAGACTTATATAATAGAATAGAGTAGAGTAGAGTAGAGTAGAGTAGAGTAGAGTAGAGTAGAGTAGAGTAGAGTAGAATAGAATAGAATAGAATAGAATAGAGAAGAAATACAGAATAGAATAGAATTACAGAATAGAATAGAAATAGGAATGAATAGAACAGAAATACAGAATAGAAATACAGAATAGAAATACTGAATAGAATAGAATAGAATAGAATAGAGAAGAATTACAGAATAGAATTACAGAATAGAATAGAATTCAGAATAGAATAGAATTATAGAATACAAATACTGAATAGAATAGAATTATAGAATAGAATAGAATAGAATAGAATACTGAATAGAATACAATAGAAAGAATAGAATAGAATAGAATAGAGAAGAAATACAGAATAGAATAGAATTACAGAATGGAACAGAATAGAATTATAGAATAGAATCGAAATACTGAATACAATAGAAATAGTAAATAGAAAAATAGGGAGTTAGGAATAGAATAAAATAAAATAAGAATAGAATAGGAATAGAATAGAATAGAAAAATAGAACAGAAAAATAGAATAGAATAGAATAGAACAGAATAGAGAAGAAATACAGAATAGAATAGAATTACAGAATAGAATAGAAATAGGAATGAATAGAACAGAAATACAGAATAGAAATACAGAATAGAAATACTGAATAGAATAGAATAGAATAGAGAAGAATTACAGAATAGAATTACAGAATAGAATAGAATTCAGAATAGAATAGAATTATAGAATACAAATACTGAATAGAATAGAATTATAGAATAGAATAGAATAGAATAGAAATACTGAATAGAATACAATAGAAAGAATAGAATAGAATAGAATAGAGAAGAAATACAGAATAGAATAGAATTACAGAATGGAACAGAATAGAATTATAGAATAGAATCGAAATACTGAATACAATAGAAATAGTAAATAGAAAAATAGGGAGTTAGGAATAGAATAAAATAAAATAAGAATAGAATAGGAATAGAATAGAATAGAAAAATAGAACAGAAAAATAGAATAGAATAGAATAGAACAGAATAGAGAAGAAATACAGAATAGAATAGAATTACAGAATAGAATAGAAATAGGAATGAATAGAACAGAAATACAGAATAGAAATACAGAATAGAAATACTGAATAGAATAGAATAGAATAGAGAAGAATTACAGAATAGAATTACAGAATAGAATAGAATTCAGAATAGAATAGAATTATAGAATACAAATACTGAATAGAATAGAATTATAGAATAGAATAGAATAGAATAGAATAGAAATACTGAATAGAATACAATAGAAAGAATAGAATAGAATAGAATAGAGAAGAAATACAGAATAGAATAGAATTACAGAATGGAACAGAATAGAATTATAGAATAGAATCGAAATACTGAATACAATAGAAATAGTAAATAGAAAAATAGGGAGTTAGGAATAGAATAAAATAAAATAAGAATAGAATAGGAATAGAATAGAATAGAATAGAAAAATAGAACAGAAAAATAGAATAGAATAGAATAGAATAGAATAGAATAGAATAGAATAGAATAGAATAGAATAGACTAGAATAGAGCTGAAAGGGACCATGGAGGTCTTCTAGTCCAGCCCCTTGCTCAAGCAGGGGAACCTGTCCTATACCATCTCAGACAAGTGACTGTCTAGCCTCTTCTTAAAGGAGCCTGTTTGGATGCTTTAATTCGGATTCCTGTATTGGGCAAGGGATTGGATTAGATGACCTCTGGGGACCCTTCTTAATACAGACTTCTGGGGAAGAAAAATCCAATTTAGCCTCCCAGTCCCCAGCAGAGTTGGGCTCTAACTGTCCTCTTATTTCTACTTAGCTGTAGGATCACAGCTGTGGATTGGAAGGGGCCTAAGAGGTTATCTAATCCAGCCCATTGTTCAGGGGTAGAACCCACTAGAACATTCTATCAGCTGACCCTCCCGCCTCAGCTGGAAACACCCGCCACGCCACACACCCCCCCCGGGAGAACTCAACCAGCTCAGGTGGCAGCTTGTTCCACCGGCCGAAAGCTTGTACAGACAAGTAGGTTCAGAAAGATTTCCTCAGTCGATAAAAAGGAAGCAAAAAGCAAAAAAACCTCTCAACGTAATTCAGAACGAGTCAGTTCTTTCCAGGGCGCTGTATTCCAATCCTGGGTGTTGTGTTTTCTCAAAAAAAAGAAAGAAAGAAAGAAAGAAAGAAAGAAAGAAAGAAAGAAAGAAAGAAAGAAAGAAAGAAAGAAAGAAAGAAAGAAAGAAAGAAAGAAAGAAAGAAAGAAAGAAAAACTTTCCCTCCAGGAGGTGAGAAATAGCCAAATTGTGGGGTCCTTGGTGCTTTTATTATTATTATTATTATTATTAGTAGTAGTAGTAGTAGTAGTAATAATAATAATACCTGCAACATAACACCCCAGACTTAACAATTGTTGATAAGAAAGACAAAAAAGTCTGGATAGTGGACGTGGCAGTGCCTGGAGACAGCAGAATAGACGAGAAAGAACTGGAGAAGATAACAAAATACAAAGACCTACAAATAGAAATAGAAAGACTGTGGCAAAAGCAAGCAAGGGTAATACCAATAGTAATAGGTGCCTTGGGTGCAATCCCAAAACAACTGGAGCACCACTTGAACACCATTGGCATTGACAAATTCGCTATTAGTCAATTGCAAAAGGCAGCCTTACTAGGAACTGCTTCCATCCTGTGACGATACCTGTAAGACCATCAAACATCCACATCTGCCTATCCCAGGTCCTGGGTAAGGACTCGATAGGTAGACAAAATACCAAATCCAGTCTGAACATCTGGCTGACTGTGCGATGATCCATAATAATAATAATAAAAGTTGGAAGGGACCTTGGAGGTCATCTAGTCCAACCCCCTGCTCAGGCAGGAAACCCTATACCAGGGGTAGATAACTTTGGCTCTTTTATGACTCGTGGACTTCAATTCCCAGAATTCCTGAGCCAGCATGGCTCAGCTTGGAAACCTCTCCCTTTCCCCTCAGCACGGCTGGCTGAGGAATTCTGGGAGTTGAAGTCCACGAGTCATGAAGGGGCCATAGTTCCCCCCTACTAGTTCAGGAATTCTGGGAGTTGAAGTCTACGAGTCATGAAGGGGCCATCGTTCCCCCAGGCTGGCACAGGAATTCTGGGAGTTGAAGTCCCCGAGTCATAAAAGAGCCGAGGTTGCCTACCCCTGCTCTAGACCATTTCGGACCAATGTTAAGCTTTTAAGCTTGATGGCTTTCTGGCAAACATTTCATTACCCAAACTAGTCCTGCTAGCGTGAACTAGTCAGGGTAACGAAACGTCTGCCAGAAAACGAGCCAGCTCAGAGCCCACCGGGGACCCCCTCCCCTCCTTTCAACCCTCCCCCCCTACAAAGGTCCTCCTTGATCAGCCCAATTGTGTTTTGAACGCTGTCTTGCAGGTTCTAGCCTCTAGAGGGCGCCAGGCTCCCAGACCTGGGGGTTTCCTTCAGCCTGGAGCGTAAGTGTGGCTTTCGAAGGCTGGCATTAACCCCACGGTGGCTGGAGGGCAGCAGGAAGGTGCCCGGGGCTGTCTGGCTTGCTTTTTCTCCTGGGGGAAGTCGGCACTAACCTTACGGCGTTCCTCCTCCTCCTCCGGGCTGCTTCCCTGGTTCCTGGGTTGCCCCTTCGATCTCAAGGCTGGAGCCGAGAGGGCGGGCGGCTGGCCATCCTCTTCGCTTCTTCATCCGAGCCGCCTTTTTGGGAAAAGCAGGAGCAAAAAACTTCGGATTCCCGCACGCAGCCTCGCTTGCATGTCGGAAGGGAAAGCCATTTAGTTCGTGATCAAGGGGCTGGGATGACGGGGGGGGGGAATGGGCACTCAGAGCAGCCTTTGGGCTTTGAACCAGGTTTCTGCCAGGTTATGCTTGAGAGGGCCGCCCTCTTGGGAGTTTGAAATGGCAGCCTGCCTCCTCCTCTCCTCTCCTCTCCTCTCCTCCCTCTCCCCTTCCTCTTCTCCCTTCCCTTCCATCCCCTCCCCTTCCTCTGCTTCCTTTCCCCCTCCCTTTCCCTCCCTCTCCCACTCCTCTCTCTTCTCCTTCCTGCCTTCCCTCCCTCCCTCCTCCCTCCCTTCCTTTCTTCCTGCCTCCCTCCCTCCTTCCTTCTCCTTCCTCCCTCTCTCCTTCCTTCCTTCCTTCCCTCCCTCCTTTTCTTTTTTATTTCTCTTTTCCTTCCTTCTTTCCTTCCTTCCTTTCTCTCATTCTTTTCCTTCCTTCCTTTCTCTTTCTTTTCCTTCCTTTCTTCCCTCCCTCCTTCCGTCTCTCCCTTCCTTCCTTCCTTCGTTTCTTCCTCCCTCCCTCCCTCCCTCCCGCCTTCCTTCTGTCCTCCTTCTTCCCTCTCTCCTTCCTTCCCTCCTTCCTTCCTTTCTTTTTTATTTCTCTTTTCCTTCCTTTCTTCCTTTCTTTTCCTTCCTTCCTTCCTTCCTTTCTCTTTGTTTTCCTTCCTTCCTTTCTCTCATTCTTTTCCTTCCTTCCCTCTCTCCCTTCCTTCCTTCCTCTCTCTCTCTGTCTTTTTCCTCTTTCTTTTCCTTCCTTTTTTCCTTCTTTCCTTCCTTCATTCTTTCCTCTTTCTTTTTCTTCTTTCCATCCTTCCTTTCTCTTTTCCTTCCCTCCCTTCTTTCCTTCCTTTCTTTCTCTTTCTCACTCTCTTTTCCTTCCTTCCTATCTTTTCCTTCCTTCCTTATTTTTCTTCCTTTCTTCATTCTTTCCTCTTCCTTTTCCTTTTTTCTTTTCCTTCCTTCCTCTTTCTTTTCCTTCTCTCCCTCCTTTCCTTCCTTCCTTCCTTTCTCTCTCACTCTCTCTCTTTTTCTTCCTTCCTTCTTTCCTTCCTTTCCTCCCTCCCTCCCTCTAAAATCTAAATTGAGGACTACCTGTACTTAAAATCCATCCGAAGTTCTTGCTCCTTGCTCTCCCTGGTGTCTGAGCAGAACAGCCAGGACTGACCGGTGTCATCCAGTAGCAGACTTGACTCCTCCTGCTTGATTTTTACGCTCATCGTTTCTTCCTGCTTCTTGACCCCTTTGCCCCCTTTTCAGAAATCAACAGCGGCATGGAGGCGACGGATGGGTTCTCCTTGTGTTCAGAAAACGGCTACGCCAACGAGCTTCTCACCCCCATGGACCACCGGGAAGCGAAGCTGCGTATTAACTGACGGAAGGAGGGGGGGCGGTGGGCAAGATCTGGGGGGGGGGTTTCTGCGTGACTCTCCCAGGGGCTTCCTTATTAGCACAACGAGGAAGAGTCGGTGCTCCTTTGTCAAAACTGCCGACGCAACAAACTTTGTGAGGGCGGCCTGGAGCCTCTCTGGAAACTGAAGCTGGGCTGGGTTTCATTATTATTATTATAATTATTTTGTAAAGTTTCTCCCTTTTTTGCTGACCCTTTTCCTGCCTGCTGTGGGCAGCGGGAACCGGCCCATAGGCCAGAAGCAAGTGGGACCCCCCCTGGCTGGACCACGAGCTGAGATGCTGGCCAGGTCAGCAAGGAAGGACCTCCCCATGACCCCCCCACCCCACCTACTTCTCGATTCCTTTCTTTGGGACAGCGATGGTTAGCTGACTTTATTTAAAGATGTATGTTGTGAAACCCTTGTGCGGTGTCTTCATTTCTGAACACTTCGGGGAGGGCTGAAAGGGTCGCCAAATGCAACAACCGCAGGAGAAGACACACCGGTGGGAGGTGTGCAAAGGATGGGGACCATTTCAACTGAACAGCCAGTCGTTTAGTGACCGTTCAAAGTGAACAACGGCACTGGAAAAAAAGGGACTTACGGCCAGTTTTCACACTTGCAACCCTATGGTCACTTGCGATCAAAATCCAGAGGCTCGGCAACTGGCAGGCCTTTGTGACAGTTGCTAAGTCCCGGGGTCACGTCATCCCCTTTTGCAACCTTCTGACAAGGTGTCGCAATTGGAAGCATCGCTGCAGTGAGGAACAAAACCTGACCAAGACTGGGCGCCAAAGAGGCCTGCCTGAATAATGTCGAAAATTAAAGAGGAAAAGTTTTTGCTGTTTCCTAGGTAACTGCCTACGGTCTGGATAAGATAAACACTTCAGGATATTTTCCAGAACAGTCGCTGTGCTCATCTGTTGCACGGATGCTAAGCCTTAATTTATTTTTGCTACAGTTCCCGGAAATTGGCCACGTGCTCTCTCTCCCCGTGCCCTTTAATGAAGACATATGAGCCAGCCGTGTGCTGCAGCTGCCAAAAAAGCCAACACAGTGCTGGGCTGCATTAACAGAGGGAGAGAATCAAGATCGGGTGAAGTGTTAATACCACTTTACAAGGCCTTGGTAAGGCCACACTTGGAATCCTGCATCCAGTTTTGGTCACCACGATGTAAAAAAGATGTTGAGACTCTAGAAAGAGTGCAGAGAAGAGCAACAAAGATGATCAGGGGACTGGAGGCTAAAACATATGAGGAATGGTTGCTGGAATTGGGAATGTCTAGTTTAACGAAGAGAAGGACGAGGGGGGACACGATAGCAGTGTTGTAGTATCTGAGGAGCTGCCCCAAAGAAGAGGGAGTCAAGCTGTTCTCCAAAGCACCTGAAGGCAGGACAAGAAGCAACAGATGGAAACCAATCAAGGAGAGAAGCAACCTAGAACTAAGGAGAAATTTCCTGACAGAACAATTAACCAGTGGAACAGTTAGAACAATTAACCACGGTCGTAAGTGTGAAAAAACTGTCACAACTTACTTGTTTTAGTGCTGTTGCAATTTCGGTCACTAAACGAACGGCTGTAAAGCGAGGACCAACTCTAAGTCAAAGAGGCCACCCAGTTTGTCTTGCTTGGGTAGGTATACCAGCTGGGATAAAGCAACTTGTTTCTGGAATGGTTTAGCTACGCAGGGGTAGGCCACCTTTGCTCTTTTAGGACTCATGGACTTCAACTCCCAGAATTCCTGAGCCAGCCATGCTGAGGGGAAAGGGAGGGGTTTCCATGCTGAGCCACGGTGGCTCAGGAATTCTGGGAGTTGAAATCCACAAGTCATGAAGGGGCCACAGTTCCCCCATGCTGGCTCAGGAATTCTGGGAGTTGAAGTCCCCAAGTCATGAAGGGGCCATAGTTCCCTCATGCTGGCTGAGGAATTCTGGGAGTTGAAGTCCGCAAGTCATGAAGGGGCCATAGTTCCCTCATGCTGGCTGAGGAATTCTGGGAGTTGAAGTCCATGAGTCATGAAGGGGCCATAGTTCCCTCTGCTGGCTGAGGAATTCTGGGAGTTGAAGTCCGCAAGTCATGAAGGGGCCATAGTTCCCTCATCTGGCTCAGGAATTCTGGGAGTTGAAGTCCATGAGTCATGAAGGGGCCATAGTTTCCCCATGCTGGCTCAGGAATTCTGGGAGTTGAAGTCCACGAATCATAAAAGAGCCATCGTTTCCCCTTGCTGGCTCAGGAATTCTGGGAGTTGAAGTCCATGAGTCATGAAGGGGCCATAGTTTCCCCATGCTGGCTGAGGAATTCTGGGAGTTGAAGTCCACGAATCATAAAAGAGCAAAGGTTGCCTACCCCTGGCTTAGCTGTATAGTTAAGTGTGTTGCATCCGACTTTTTTTTTTTTTTTTGCCCATGGTTGTTAAGTCAATCTGGGTCCCTCCCCTGCCTTTGCTCGTTGGAAGCCAACTGGGAAGGTTGCCAATGGCGACCCCATAACCCTGGGATGCTGCAGCCATCATAAATACCGGCATAGGGGGTGATCTGAATTTTGATCAGGAGACCAAAAAGCCACCGGGAGGAGGGCAAGTGGGAGGATTGCTTCTGTGTCTCTTTTTTTCCGGGCTTCAAATGATCACTAAGCAAATGGACGTAAGTGAGGTTGGTGGATCGGGTTGCTGGTGCTTTTAATAATAGATCCGGCATCCTTGAATCTCCTATCTTTTATACTACGCAAGGAGAAAGCACCAACAGGATCTTCCTTAGCCTCTCTTACACAAAGAGCCTCTGTGCCAGCAGGCGGGTTCATAGCACTTTTGCAAAACACACACACACACACACACACACACACAATTAGTCCGGCTGTACATAACGACAAGAGAACAATCATTAAGGGTGAAAAATAAGACAGCCTGGTAATTAAAAGCCTGTTGAGAAAAGAAGGACGAGGGGTGACATGATGGAAGTTGTTCCAATATCTCAGGGGCTGCCCCCAAGAAGAGGGAGTCAAGCTATTCTCCAAAGCGCCTGAAGGCGGGATAAGAAGCAACGGATGGAAACTCACCAAGGAGAGAAGCAACCTGGAACTAAGGAGAAACTTCCCGACAGTGAGGACAATTAACCAGTGGAACCGCCTGCCTCCAGAAACGGTGAATGCTCCAACACTGGAAGTTTTTAAGAAGAGACTGGACAGCACTTTTTCTGAAATGGTGTAGGGTTTCCTGCCTGAGCAGGGGTTTGGACTAGATGACCTCCAAGGTCCCTTCCAACTCTTCTGATTGGTTGATTGATAGTGTGCAAATCCATGTATTGGAGTTTATGTTTGAGGCTAAAACATATGAAGAACGGTTGCGGGAATTGGGGATGTCTAGTCTAATGAAAAGAAGGACTAGGAGACATGATAGCAGTCTTCCAATATTTGAGGGGCTGCCACAAAGAAGAGGGGGTCCACTTTATCTCCAAAGCAGCTGAAGGCAGGACAAGAAGCAACAGATGGAAACTCATCAAGGACAGAAGCAGCCTAGAACTAAGGAGAAACTTCCTGACAGCGAGAACAATTAACCAGTGGAACAACCTGCCTCCAGAAGCAGTGAATGCTCCAACATTGGAAGTTTTCAAGAAGAGACTGGACAGCCATTTATCCAAAATATATAGGGTCTTCTGTTTAAGCCGGGGGGTTGGACTAGAAGGCCTCCAAGGTCCCTTTGGACTCTGCTATTCTGTTAATTAGCTAAATCGTTGGTCACTAAATAGCCTCCTAATCATCTTTGTTGCTCTCCTCTGCCCTCTTTCCAGAGTCTCAATATCTTTTTTACATCGTGGTGACCAAAACTGGATGCCGTATTCCAAGGGTGGCCTGACCAAGGCCTTGTAAAGTGGTATTAACCCTTCACGTGATCTTGATTCTATCCCTCTGTTAATGCAGCCTAGCACTGTGTTGGCTTTTTTGGCAGCTGCAGCACACGGCTGGCTCATATTTAAATGATGGTCCACTAGGACTCCGAGACCTGTCTCGCAGTTGCTACTCTTGATCCAGATACCATCTATTCTATACCTGCGCATTCTTTATTGGAATGACAGAAATGCATTGGCGATTCCCGCAGGTCGAAAAGGAACGGGTTTTTTTTTTCCCTCCTTTCGTCACTAGCTTTCTACATTCTTCTCCAGGATTCTTGCTTTTTTTTTAAAAAAAAAAAAGGCGTCAAACGTCTCAACTTCCGGGCGTGATCACGGGCACAGGATGCCCCATGCCTGTCCCGAGAATGTCACACAACGTCAGCATCTCCTTCTGAAGCACCAAGCCTCCATCAGGCAGAACATCACTTTGGAAAACGCCAGGCCCACGAGGAGACCGGCCAGCAGCCAGGCCCCCCTGGATAAGACGGAAAAGAGGGTGTCCCTTATTGCTTGGGGGTCTACCTTCAGCTTGGCCTGCACCATCTCGAAGAGCAGGGAGAGACCCTCCGAGCAGGGGTCCGTCTCCGAGTTGTCGAAGGGGAACGGCTCCAGCTGCTCCTGCAGACACAGGATCTCGTTTTCCTGGACGTCGCAGATCTGCCGGAGTTTATCCATCGCGCCCTTCAGCTCGGCCGACTGCGTCTTCTGGCCTTCGTAACGCTGCTCGGCCGCCTCAATCATCCCCTCCAACTGTTTAAAGTACCCCACAATTTGTTCCACCACCTGCTTCATGCGCGTCATATTCTGGTCCTGACTATCTCTGTAATCCTGAAATCTGAGCAGCTGGTTGGAGAGCGTCTGGATTTCGGAGCGGAGAACCTTGTTGGTCTCCGCCAAGGTCTGGTTTTGGGCCTCCAGGTCTGCCCGTGTGTCTTCCCGTTCTCGGAGCAGCTCCCGCAGTTCCTCCTCTTCCTTTTCCAAGACCTTCACCATGGTGGTCAAGCAGTCGATCCTCTCGTCCAAATTCTTGTTCTCCTGTTTGAGGCTCTCTATTTCCTTCAGGATCTTCTGGTTTTCGGCCTCGCGACCCGCCACTTTCTCTTTTAGGTGGCCGATCTCCTTCTTTAAGCTTTCCTGGGTGGACGCCGGAAGAGTCTCTGCTGCTTTCTCCATGGGGTTGGGGGGAAGGACTTGAACCCGGCGCCGTTTCCTGTGAGTTCAAGCAAAAGAGAGAGGAAGCCAGCGTCAAGCCATCATATTGTCGGCGGTGCCCCGTTCTGTTTTTAGATATTTTCATATGGACAATCATGGCAGATGACAGCAGGCTGGCCCAATGTAACTTAGCTCCTGATTAGGTTGATACGGGGATGGGAGACCACTAGGAAACGGGATGGGAGACCAGTAGGGAAAAAAAAACTCCCAATAATATTTAGCTGATGGGGTTGACTTTAGTGCTTGCTGGACAAGCTCCAAATCAAAGCAGCAGCCAGCGTAAAAAAAAAAAGGAAAGGGATGCACATTTTAATATCTATTAAGAAATCCTGCAATTCTGCAAAAGCACAGGTGGTTGCTGAATTACAATGGTCAAAAAAACTCAACCTGGTGGCCTGCATTGCAATATCCTTTTTCAATACGTATTTATAAGGTTTTTTTTTTTATCAACCTAAAAAACATCCTGGCTGAATTAAAATCACTCCAGTCCAGGGATCTAACAGGTTTCCATGCTGGATCCTCTGGAAATGCACAGTTCTTTAGCCCAAGTAGCTAAACCACTGTGGCTACATGAGAATTTGAAGCTGACACCTCCCTATCACCCCTGGACAATTAAACTAAGATATAATCAGTGCTTTTTTTGTCATAGAATGCACTGGAACGGAATTCCGGCACTTTTTTTTGACGGATTTTCCAAGTTTTAAAAATAAACGTTTGAAAATTTGATGTTTGGTCCGCGTAGACTTGAATCGCCCTGTCGAGCGTAGCATGTCGGCGGCAAAATCATGAAAATGGTGCATGTGGGCTACTTGTGTGTCGAGTCCGATGCATGCGAACTTCGTCTGCGCTTGTTGTAATGGCGCTGCTCGGCTTGTGGCGCTGCTCGTCTTGTGATTGGTCGTATGGTTGTGCACTGAGTGCTTACTGCGGCCGGCGACCGTTACGTTTCATTACACAACTGACGTGTGTGGGTGTGTGTAGAGTGATTGACTACGTGTGAAAGGTAAATAATTTCTTTATTTTAAAAAATCGTTGGCGAATTGAAAATCTTTTCCAAATTTTTAGGGTAAAAGTGTGACCCCAAATTTAAAAATGAAAAAAAAAACTAATTACTTCTCAACCACCTGTCCTGGTAAGAACTGAATATATATTTTTTTGAATAAAAGATTAACAAGATGTGAGTTCCGACATCTTTTTTCTTACAAAAAAAGCACTGGATATAATAATAATAATAATAATAATAACAACAACAACACAGTTGGAAGGGACCTTGGAGGTCTTCTAGTCCAACCCCCTGCTCAAGCAGGAGAGCCTATATATTTCAGCCACATGGCTGTCCAATCCTTAAAAACCTCCAGTGTTGGAACACCCACCACTTCTGAAGGCAGGTTGTTCCGCTGATTAATTGTTCTCACTGTTCAGGAACAGTTGTCCCAACGGTCAGGAAAGTACATCATGACATATTAATAAGGAAATAATTAATTGATTTACTCATTAAACTACAAAACCACCAAAATATTAAAACAAAACCGAAACAGGAAAAAAAAAATAAAGCACGCAACCAAGAAGACATTAAAAAGAAAAAAATGGGTTGGAAAAAAAAAAGATTAACAAAACTGGTCAAGGAGAGAAGCAACCTGGAATTAAGGAGAAACTTCCTGACAGTGAGGACAATCAACCAGTGGAACAGCTTGCCACCAGAAATCATGGGCGCCCATCACTGGAGGTTTTTAAGAAGAGACTGGACAGTCACTTGTCTGAGATGGTATAGGTTCTCCTGCTTGAGCAGGGGGCTGGATTAGAAGACCTCCAAGGTCCCTTCCAGCTCTATTCTATTCTATTCTGTTCTGTTCTATTCTACTTCTACTTCTATTTCTGTCCTCCCTAGCTGAATGCTGATGAATATAAAATTCATCCCAGCACAAGACAAATGTCGATCATGTCTGTATATCTCTGCCAAAAAATGCTAGTGGTAAGTCAGAATGACTTTGGGAAACTGGAGGAAGAGCCTCAAAGTAGACAATGTCCTGAGTCTGCGGAAGGACTTTCTTCTTCTTCTTCTTCTTCTTCTTCTTCTTCTTCTTCTTCTTCTTCTTCTTCTTCTTCTTCTTCTTCTTCTTCTTCTTCTTCTTCTTCTCTTCTTCTTCCTCTTCCTCTTCCTCTCCCTTTCCCTCTCCTTCTCCTTCTCTTCGTTCTTCCTTCTTCTTCTTCTTCTTCTTCTTCTTCTTCTTCTTCTTCTTCTTCTTCTTCTTCTTCTTCTTCTTCTTCTTCTTCCTCTTCTTCTTCTTCTTCCTCTTCTTCTTCTTCTTCCTCTTCCTCTTCCTCTTCCTCTTCCTCTTCTTCTCCTCCTCCTCCTTCTCCTTCTCCTCCTCCTCTTCCTCCTCCTCCTCCTTCCTCCTCCTCCTCCTTCCTCCTCCCCTCCTTCCTCCCTCCTCCTCCTCCTCTTCCTCCTTCTCCTCCTCCTCCTCCTCCTCCTCCTTCCCCTCCTCCTTCCTTCTTCTTCCTCCTCCTCCTTCTCCTCCTCCTCCTCCTCCTCCTCCTCCTCCTCCTCCTCTTCCTCCTCCTCCGCCTCGTTTATTGTGGTCTTGTGGAAAAATAAAAGCCTTAAAAAATAGGACTTTTACGAATTCCAAGGGTGAAAGAGAGGTTTTTATTTTTGCGCAAAAGGTTCAGAAGTGATTTAACAATCAGCAGATTTCCGAACAAGGGGGAGGGTCTAAACTAAAGAATCTAGTGGTGACCAACTCTGCATGTAATAGTAATAGTAGTAAAGTTGGAAGGGACCTTGGAGGTCATCTAGTCCAACCCCCTGCTCAGGCAGGAAACCCTACACCATTTCCGACAAATGGCTGTCCAATCTCTTCTTAAAAATTTCCAGTGTTGGAACATTTATTGCTTCTGGAGGCAGGCTGTTCCACTGATTAATTGTTCTCACTGTCAGGAAGTTTCTCCTTAGTTCTAGGTTGCTTCTCTCCTTGATGAGTTTCCACCCGTTGCTTCTTGTCCTGCCTTCAGGCGCCTTGGAGAATAGCTTGACTCCCTCTTCTTTGGGGCAGCCCCTGAGATATTGGAACGCAGCTATCATGTCCCCCCTCGTCCTTCTCTTCATTAAACTGGACAGACCCAAGTCCAGCAACCGTTCCTTATATGTTTTAGCCTCCAGTCCCCTAATCATCTTTGTTGCTCTTCTCTGTACTCTTTCTAGAGTCTCAACATCTTTTTTACATCGTGGTGACCAAAACTGGATGCAGTATTCCAAGTGTGGCCTTACCAAGGCATTGAAGAGTGGTATTAATACTTCACGTGATTTTTATAGGTTTTTATGGCTTTTTTATAGCTTTTATAGCTTTTATAGGTATAGCTTTTATAGCTTTTATAGATATAGCTTTTATAGGTTTCTTTTTCTCAAGAACAAAGGAAGCATAGATGGAATCTTACACTGTGTATGGAATCTACTTTGTGTAACATTCAGATAGTTTCTCACACGTTAGCTCCATTTCTCATGGGAATACAATGAAGGCAGTTTTTACTTTTATACAATGTTTCTAAATATGCATTAGGTCATTCAGGTACTGTTACTACAGCTTTTGGCTAACACAGCTTTCTTTCAGAGATTATGCAGACACATGATTTTTGCTTTTAGTGATTTTTCATTATTATTATTATACTTTATTCTTCTTTATTCTATGTTATTCTATTTCTTTCCCACATGAGTGGGGATTGGAGAGGCCATCGTTTTGCCTACTCACCAAAGGATCCTCCCAGATAGCCCAGCACCAACCTCAGCACAGTCCATACCCAACAGTCAGAAATTGCCTCACAGATGACATCACAATGCAGGCGCCACCACACAAAGGAGACACACACCCACAGTCCTGGCAATGGAAAGGAGCATTTGAGCACAAAGTCTATACCTGGTGGCAGCCACATGCTGAAGACTGTGCTGGGATGGGGTGATTAGTTTATTGAAATTTAGGAAGCACCCTTTGAAGGGGGCTTAAAATTGAAAATATAAGGGGAGAACCCATAACATTACCCCCCCCCCCAAATAGTAAAGTAAAAACAAGCTGAATATCCATCTTTGTTCCGGGCATGGAAGAACGTTAGTAATTAGCTGGGGGATTCTGGGAGTTGAAGTCCACACAGTTTTTAGTGGCCATAGTTGAGATACACTGTTCTAGATACATGGACTTTGTTAGTCCGTGGGATGGGAGACCACTAGGAAATCTTAGATTGGAAGGTTGGAACCTATCCTAGAAGGAATAGAATAGAATAGAATAGAATAGAATAGAATAGAATAGAATAGAATAGAATAGAATAGAAATTTGGAAGGGACCCTGGGTGTCTTCTAGTCCAGCCCCCTGCTCAAGCAGGAGAACCTACACCATTTCAGACAGGTGCATGTCTAGTCTCTTCTTAAAAACCTCCAGTGATGGAGCGCCCACGATTTCTGGTGGCAAGCTGTTCCACTGGTTAATTGTCCTCACTGTCAGGAAGTTTCTCCTTAATTCCAGGTTGCTTCTCTCCTTGACCGGTTTCCAACCAATTTTTCTCGTCCTTCCCTCTGGTGCTCTGGTGAACAACCTGACTCCTTCTGCCTTGTGGCAGCCCCTCAGATACTGGAACATTTAAGCGTGATGTTGCGTGTGATTTTTTTTTTCTGGAAATCTCCAGGTGTGCAACTGTGTGTTTGTATTGCAGAATTGCATTCCCTCCCAGTGATTCATAATAGCTTCTTGTTTGGTTTTGTTAAGATAACAGCGTATTCTTGGTATGTCTCTTTGTCTACACCCAGAGAGGGCAAAAGATGTCAATTTTTAATATGGCTACATTCTCACATTCAGGAATAGAGCTTTTCCCAGCTCAGACAGCCAGCTCACAGCTCTTAAACTTTGAAACTTTATCTTCAATAACACCAGTATATCAAAGATGATAAGCTCTATCCCAACTTTCTAAATAGATGTGCTGGGTTAATTAATTTCTTTTCTCCTTATTCTCCTTTTGCGTTCTGTACCTATATTGGAGGGTGTTTAGAGCAGTATTTAAGGCACATTAATTAAATCAATGAACACGTGAATGAATGAATAAATAAATGATCAACCTTGGCAACTTTCATATGTGTGAACTACAACTCCCACAATTCCTCAGCCAGCACGGATGGACTTCAATTCTCAGAGACCCACACATCTTAAAGCAGTCAAAAGTTGGAAAAACACCCATTTACAACAAGAGCGTCCGTCCCTGGTTGACCTGTCTGGCCTACGAAACTAATGGGAAGGGAGACCACTAAGAAATTTCGAAAGACTGTAAATCAGACTGTCGTTGAAAATGATGACGGCAAGAAAACCATGAGGCATACCGGTCAAATTGTAAAGTCGCAAGATCTGTTTTTATTTTTACTACATCTCTTCCTGGGGATCTGTCCAAAGATTTTTAGTACTGAATAGAAAGATGGAATAGTAATCAGGGCTGCTGTCCAGCATTATTCAGAAAATAATGTATGTGGCAGCGAAGGGATTCGGCTTAAAAATGGAAGGTTTAATTCCACGGAGTTGACAATGGTGTGAATTTGTGCTAAACTTGGGCAAAAATCTCAGCCCGTCTGCTCTGAAATTGGCCAGCAAAGAGGATAGTAGAAAAATGAACGTGGCTGCCACAATTGAATTCTTGCATGAAAATTTAATGCCCTTCTAAATGCAGAATGTGGGTTATCGTGCTCATACAGCATGCTTAACCTGACTGTGAGTTCACTCATTGCCTCTTTGGGAAAAGTGAATCTTCAGCTGAGGAAATGGGCTGAATTCATCACAAAGCCCGTGCTGGAAACAAAGCAAAATAAAAACGAAGCAAAAAAACAACTCAAGATTGTTTATTTATAACATTTGTGAACCGCCCATCTCTGTCTGGTTGGTCTATGCGCAGGGGTAGGCAACCTCGGCTCTTTTATGACTCGTGGATTTCAACTCCCAGAATTCCTGAGCCAGCCATGATGAGGGGAAAGGGAGAGGTTTCCAAGCTGAGCCATGCTGTCTCAGGAATTCTGGGGGTGGAAGTCCGCGAGTCATGAAGGGGGCCATAGTTCCATGTTGGCTCAGGAATTCTGGGAGTTGAAGTCCACGAGTCATGCAGTGGCCAAAATTCCATGTTGGCTGAGGAATTCTGGGAGTTGAAGTCCACAAGTCATGAAGGGGCCAAAGTTTCTCTCATGCTGGCTGAGGAATTCTGGGAGTTGAAGTCCGCCAGTCATGAAGGGGCCATAGTTCCATGTTGGCTGAGGAATTCTGGGAGTTGAAGTCCACAAGTCATGAAGGGGCTATAGTTCCATGTTGGCTCAGGAATTCTGGGAGTTGAAGTCCACAAGTCATGAAGGGGCCAAAGTTTCTTTCATGCTGGCTCAGGAATTCTGGGAGTTGAAGTTCACGAGTCATAAAAGAGCCAAGGTTGCCTACCCCTGGTCTACGGTGTGAAAGATTACGTATGTTTGTTGTGTGAATATAGCTGGGAGGGGGGATGTCGGAGAATTTCAACTATGACAAGCCTACCTTTTGTGCGTGAAAGAAGCTGAAAATCCTTCCTTCACCCAAAGCACTGAGTCATGAGGTAGTTTGTGGGGTTGTGTGAAAACAGCCACTTTGGCTTCTGGATCACAGAGTATGGCTTAGCCTTAGTGCACGGTGTGAATCCAAGGCTTCTGGTTTAGTTCACAAAACATAGCTCAATTTGATTCTGGATTCACATCACGGAGATCAATTTACTATAAAATTTATCCCTTGACAGCAAGGTGGAAAAAACAGAAGAAGATGGGTGGATTTCAATTCCCAGAATTCCCCAACCACCCTTGCAAGGACAATTATAACAAAAAAGGGTTATCATTTTCTGAAACTGTTGCACACAACTCCATAGATACAATATATATACGATAGAAAGGTAGGAAGAGGTAGACAGACAGATAGATATGGATTGACATATATATATGAATAGATAAATGACAGATAGATAGATAGATAGATAGATAGATAGATAGATAGATAGATAGATAGATAGGCAGGCAGGCAGACAGATATGAATGGACAAATAGATATGAATAGATATATATATTAGAAAGATAGATGATAGATGGTAGACAGATATAGATGATATAGATAGACATATATATAAGTAGAAAGATAGATTATATAGATATAGAAGATAGATAGATAGATAGATAGATAGATAGATAGATAGATAGATAGATAAACAGACAGAAAGACAGACAGAAAGACAGACAGAAATAAGTAGACAAAAGTATGGATAGATATGAACAGATAATAGATTTTAAAAAAGAGAAAGGCAGACAGAGAGTGAAAAACAGATTTAACATTTTCTTTTATCCTGTCCCATTATATAAAGCCAGGGGAGAAACAGAAATATATTGTAAGCCAGGACCAAATAGCAGTACAGACAATTTCTCGCAGTCTGAAATTTTGTGTCTCTCGCCTCGCTGTTTGTTGATGAAGCTTCAGACACGACTCAGCGCTGGCGAGGCTGCAGATTATGGTAAAGCCCGTAACGGAGGCTATATAGCACAAGAGGGACTAGCAGCTTGAGTAAGACGGAAGAGTCGTTCGCCCCCACCCAGCGTTCCAGAATGGTACACTCCACCTTCCTCTCTCTTTCTCCCCCCCCAATGCAGATGCAAAGTGATACGGTCCGCTCTGAGCACCCCTCCCCCCACCCTAACCGTGCCGACTGGAATGGTACGATCCAATCTGACCCATCCCCCCCCCTTTTCCGTCGCCTGAGTGGACCGGTCCTCCCCCCTCCCTTTTTCCCGGGGACCGCGCAGGGAGAGAGGAAAAGCCCGTCGCCTCGACCGGGAGAGCCGCGCCCCACTGAGGACTGTCGCCTTGCGAAAGCCTTGCAAAAAGCCTTGGAAAAGCCGAAGCCGGAGGATCCGATCCCCGCCGCCAGGACCACCCGGCCCAGCATCCTCAGCCGAGGCGGAGAGCATCCTTCGGCCGGGCGGGGCAGGGAAGGGTTAAAGGCACCCGCCTGATTTCTTCCCCCCCCCTCCCTCCCCGCCCCACTCAGCCCATCTTGCGCCTGCGTGCTGGCGCGGCGGCAGCTGCTAGCCCCCTCCCTCCTCTTCGCCATCCCGGCTGGGTGGGGCAGCTTTCTCTGCCGCAGCCCCCGCCGCCCAGACCGCCTTTGGGTTCTGCAGGGGCTGCGCCTCGTTGGGCACCGGCCTTATTTTGGGGTGGGGGGTGGGATATCTATCTCCCCCTTCCCTTGCTCTTCTGCAGGCTTTAGAAACAAGGGGGGGGTGTCTGCCTGCCTGCTTGCCTGCCCCTCCCTCCTACTTCTTCCCTAACCTGATGGAGGGGGGCAAATTAGCATCCCCTTAATTGGGGAGGGGTCTTTTGCTTGCCCTTCTGTCTGGAGCATCCTCTGCATCTTGCAATTGGGGAGGGGGGGTCTTGGGGAAGGGAGGCTGGGCTTGCCCAACAAAGGGGGGGGTCTGGAGCCAGTGGAGGAGGGGGTCTTTGGGCAGCGGGTCCTGGGGGAGTAGGGGGGGGTCTTCATTGTCTAGAGGGGGGGCAGTGAGCAGGCTGGACCGTGGCGGGGGAGCGCGGGCAGGACCCCACGGCCGAGATGGCTTGGCCGTGCATCAGCCGGGCGTGCTGCATTGCCCGCTTCTGGAACCAGCTGGACAAAGCCGACATCTCCGTGCCTTTGGTCTTCACCAAGTACTCCGAAGCCACCGAGCTGCCCGGCACGCAGGTGGTCTTCCAGCAGCAGCAGCCGGCCCGCCCGTTGCCCTCGGCCATCGACACCCAGCCGGCTGCCCTTGGCGGTGACTCGGATGGCCTCGCCAGGCCTGCCTCGGGGGCCGACCCCGGGCCGGGACCCCCGCCCAAAGCTGGTGCCCCCGCCCAGCCCAAAGATCCAGGCTCCCAGGACTCGGTGATGCGGCACGATTTCAAGGCCTGGAAAGTCCAGGGGCCACAGCCCAGCTGCAAGCCCAGAAGCGAGTACCACCCGTCGGATCAGCCCTTTGCCAGACAGAGTCAGTATCAGAAGGACTTCCGTCCTTGGCCCATCCCCAAGAGAGGGGACCACCCCTGGATCCCCAAGGAGATGGCCATCCCGGCCGCTGTCGAGCTGGACAAAGGAGCCAAGGAACGGTCCAGCAGCTGGGAAAGAAGAAACCGGGCGCAGATAGACCATGATCGGCTGGAGCGAAGGAAAGAGGAGCCGGCGGGATTGTCCACCTCCGAAGAAAGGTTAAGCAAGGCCAAAAAGAGGTCCCACCTGTCTGAAGACCAGGCTTGGCCCCCCCAACAGCCGCCGGCACCTTCGGGGAGCCAGGAAGCCGGGAAAGGCCGAGCGGTGGTGGACGCCCTCAACCGGCAGATCAAGCAGGAAGTTACGGGCAAGGTGACCACCTCCTCTTACAGGTGAGGACCCCCAAAACATGCATGGCGGGGTTAAGGGATGTCTTGAGTTTCATCCCTATGGAAGAAAGACTGTCTCCTTTGGCAGATCTGGGACCCGGGGCCCCCGGTGTACTTAAAACCCGTCCATTTAGTGACCGTTTTCACACTTTATGACGGTCGCAGCCTCCCCGCGGTCACCTGATCAAAAGCTCAGAGGCTTGGCAACTGGCGTGTACCGGTGACGGTTGCAGTGTCTGCTGAGGTCAGGTGATCCCCTTTGGCGACCGTCTGACACGCCAAAGTCAAGGGGGAAACCAGTTTCACTTAACAACCGTGTTACTCGCTTCGATGACGGCAGGGATTCGCTTTAAGAACCGTGGGCAAGAAAGGTATCGTGAGGCAAAATTCATTTAAGACGTGCCTCGCTTAGAAAGGTTGGGTTCAGTTTGGGTCGTTAAGTTGAGGATTACCTGTATGGACAACCGTTTGTCTGAAATGGTGTAGGGCAGGGGTCTTCAAACTTGGCCCTTTTATGACTGGTGGACTTCAACTCCCAGAATTCCTCAGCCAGCATGACTGGCTGAGGAATTCTGGGAGTTGAAGTCCATAAGTCATGAAGGGGCCATAGTTCCCCCATGCTGGCTCAGGAATTCTGGGAATTGAAGTCCCCAAGTCATGAAGGGGCCGTAGTTCCCCCATGCTGGCTGAGGAATTCTGGGAGTTGAAGTCCACAAGTCATGAAGGGGCCGTAGTTCCCCCATGCTGGCTGAGGAATTCTGGGAGTTGAAGTCCACGAGTCATGAAGGAGCCAAAGTTTCCCTCACGTTGGTTGAGGAATTCTGGGAGTTGAAGTCCATGAGTCATAAAAGGGCCAAGTCTGAAGACCCATGATATAGGGTTTCCTGCCTGAGCAGGGGGTTGGACTAGAAGACCTCCAAGGTCCCTTCCAACTCTATTATTATTATTATTATTATTATCATCATCATCATCATTATCATTATCATTATTATCATATCTTTGTTTAATTGTCCAGGGGTGATAGGGAGGTGTCAGCTTCAAATTCTCATGTAGCCACAGTGGTTTAGCTACTTCGGCTAAAGAACTCTGCATTTCCAGAGGATCCAGCATGGAAACCTGTTAGATATCTGGAATTGTTTTAGTTCAGCCAGGATGTTTTTTAGGGGTGATCAAAAACACCCCCATAAATATGTGCTGAAAAAGTCAGGGCACCTATAAGATTAGGTGCTTCCTGCTGCAAGTTAGTTAGGACTTGCATTCCTATAATGATGCTTTTTAACTCTATTAAGGTCTATGTTGGCAGAGTTTCCAGTAAGACTTACCTGGTTAAGTGAGTTGTGAAAACTCTAGCCTGGAATGCAAGATTCTTTGGGTGCCTCTTGCTTTATTTTTCAGGTAGTCCTCAACTTACAACAATTATTCATTTAGTGACCATTCAAAGTTAACAATGGCACTGGAAAAAAAATGATTTATGATGGTTTTTCACACTTGTGAAAGTTGCAGCATCCCCGTGGTCCTGCGATCCAAATTCAGATGCTTGGTCACTGACTCATCTTTATGACGGTTGCAGCGTCCCGGAATTATGTGATCCCCTTTTGCAACCTTCTGACACAAGTCAGACGGGGACGCTGGGTTCACTTGACAGCCATGTTATTAACTTCACAACTGCAGCTTTTCACTTAACAACTTTGACAAGAAAGATTGTAAAATGGGTAAAACTCACTGAACAGCTGTCTCGCTTAACAGAAATGTTGGGGTCAATTGTGGTCGTAAGTTGAGGACTACCTGTATTTTGGTCCGGAAGTTGGGGAACCCTGCCCTACACCATTTCAGACAAATGATTGTCAAATCTCTTCTTAAAAACCTCCAGTGTTGGAGAAGCCACAACTTCTGGTGGCAAGCTGTTCCACTGGTTCATTGTTCTCAATGTCAGGAAATTTCTCCTTAGTTGCAGGTTGCTTCTCTCATTGATTAGTTTTCATCTGTTGTTTCTTCTCCTGCCTTCTTCAGGTGCTTTGGAGAAAAGGTTGACCCCCCCTTCTTTGTGGCAGCCCCTCAAATACTGGAAGATTGCTATCATGTCCCCCCCCCAATTCTTTTTGATAGGCTGGACAGATCTAGCTCCTTTATCCGTTCATCATACAGTTCAGTCTCCAGATTTATGATCATCTTTGCTGCTCTTCTCTGCACATTTTTCTAGGGTCTCCAGTGTTGGAGCATTCACCGCTTCTGGAGGCAAGGAGTTCCACTGGTTAATTGTTCTAACTGTCAGGAAGTTCCTCCTTAGTTCTAGGTTGCTTCTCTTCTTGATGAGTTTTCATCTGTTGTTTTTTCTCCTGCCTTCAGGTGCTTTGGAGAATAGCTTGACTCCCTCTTCTTTGGGGCAGCCCCTGAGATATTGGAAGACTGCTATCATGTCACCCCTGGTCCTTCTTTTCACTAAACTAAACTAGATTTCTGCCTGCTGGCCTCTTTCCATCTTTTCCAAACAAACCAGGATAGAAATTAAGATAGAGGAGGGGAAACTGGAGGTGCAGTATTCCAAGTTGGTCAGGATAAACACTGCCTTTTAGGAAAACCGAGGTGTAGGTTGGCATGAAATTCCATCACGTAGTAGGTATTTCTGACTGCATATAACTGTGCAGATTAAATGGATGACCTGGCTAGGGTTGTGTAAGGAGATCCATTCAGAATGTGCAACTGCACGCTGGCTGTAATTTCAGAGTTTTTTTCCTATGCCGCAGAGAGAAAACTGCTAGCAGCAAACCAAAGAGTGCAAAAAGGCCTCCTGTTTCTCAAAGCTGGAATGAAGTTAAAAGTTTGCTTCAGAATTTTATTTGGCAATTGGACCTTTGGCGAGAAATCCTGGGCATTTGTGTCTCGGGCAAGTTGAGATTCACCTGGTCCAGAAATTTAAAGGGAGACCATTTGGATAACATTCACAAAGGGATGAAATAAAGCCCTTTGCTGGGTGTCTTTGGGCCAGTCCCTCCCTCCGTCTCTCTCTCTCTCAGCCCAGCTCACCTCCCAGAGTTGTTGTTTTTGTTGTGGGTAAAATAGGAGGAGGAAATTGTGGATATGTTTGCCACTTTGAGTTATTTGTAAAAATAATACAAATTAGACCGATTAGATAGATAGATAGATAGATAGATAGATAGATGGATGGATGGATGGATGGATGGATGGATGGATGGATAGATAGATAGATAGATAGATAGATAGATAGATAGATAGATAGATAATAATTTGTGTAGAATTGCACATTTTTTTTGTCTGTGTGTTCACATTCCTCTTTGTTTGGGACTAAGCTTTTTCTGCATTGAGAAACAAACCACGCCTGGCAGAAACTGCTGGAGCAAATTTGGTATTTGGGCTGCAGCAGGCAAGGCCATTTTATATCTGGACAGAGGGTCCTCATTTAATGACCAGTGGCTTTGTGACTCTTCAGGTACGAGAAATCCCTCTTAGAAGGTACTTAGGATCTGGTTTTGAAGTTAAGGATGGCTGCAAAAAGTTTCACATGATCACATTTTTGGGGTGCATGCCAACCAGCTCATGTTTATTGCTGTTTTCTGCATCTTGCAATTATGACTATGATTTTCAAGGTTGGTTTTTTTCTTCTTCTTTTTTTGCTGGTTTCCAATGTTTATTACCCGTTACAGCAAAAAGAACCAGTTTTATCTAGTGGTTAAACGCATCAGGCTAGAAAACGGGAAGTCTTGAGTTCAAGTTCTGATTTAGGTATGAAAGCCAGCTGGGCGACTTTGGGCCAATCACCAGGAGATCGTGAGTTCTAGTGCCTCCTTAGCCATAAAAGCTGGCTGGGTGACTTTGGGCCAATAACCATATTTGCTTAATAAGGATGGTATTCGCTTAATGCCCGCTGCAAAAAGATCATAAAATCAGGCGGGGTGACCCACTTAATGACTGCCAACACTTAACTACTGTAATCACGAGCTCAATTACAGGCGTACGTTGAGGACCACCTGTAGAAGAACTTATAAAGAGACAAAGAAATGTCCATGCTAGAAACTGGAGCCCATCACACACACACACAAAAAAAAAACCAGGAAAAAAATGTCTGAGCCTTTTGCTTTGAACCACGCAAAGCCTCCGGGAATTGCAGTCTGATGCAATGGAGCTGCAAAGAGGATGCTGGTAAATGGGAGGAGAATTATGGAGAGTGACTTTCGTCAAATCTAAACCAAGAAGAAAATATACAGAGGCTGCTTATATTAGGCCCATCCCCAAGCTAGGGCTTATTGTTGGTATAGGCCTTACTTTTGGGGAAACATGGTACGTGTCAGTTGCTAAACACTCAAAATTTGATCACGTAACCGTGGGGATGCTGCAATGGTCGTAAGTGTGAAAGTCAGTCATAAGTCATTTTTTTTCAGTGCCCTTGTAAGTTTGAATCATCACTAAACAAATGGTTGTGAGTCTAGGGCAGGGGTAGGCAACGTTGGGTCTTTTATGACTTGCGGATTTCAACTTCCAGAATTCCTCAGCCAGCATGGGGGAACTATGGCCCCTTCATGACTCGTGGACTTCAACTCCCAGAATTCCTGAGCCAGCATGGGGGAACTATGGCCCCTTCATGACTGGTGGACATCAACTCCCAGAATTCCTCAGCCAGCATGGGGGAACTATGGCCCCTTCATGACTTGGGGACTTCAATTCCCAGAATTCCTCAGCCAGCATGGGGAAACTATGGCCCCTTCATGACTTACGGACTTCAACTCCCAGAATTCCTCAGCCAACATGGGGGAAACTTTGGCCCCTTCATGACTCGTGGACTTCAATTCCCAGAATTCCTGAGCCAGCATGAGGGAATATGGCCTCTTCATGACTTGTGGACTTCAACTCCCAGAATTCCCGAGCCAGCATGGGGGAACTATGGCCCCTTCATGACTTGTGGACTTCAACTCCCAGAATTCCTCAGCCAGCATGGCTCAGCTTGGAAACCTCTCCCTTTCCCCTCAGCATGGCTGGCTCAGTAATTCTGGGAGTTGAAGTCCACGAGTCATAAAAGAGCCAAGGTTGCCTACCCCTGGTCTAGGGCTACGTGTATTGTGGTGGTGATTATTATTTTCCTGTTCTCTTTATGCTTTTCTGCTCCCCCAGAAATGAATTTCGACCGTGGACGGACATCAAGCCGGTGAGAGCGATCAAAGCCAAGTCTCAATACGAGCCTCCAGATGACAAAATCATCCACCAGACAAGCTACAGTTCCCAGTTTACTGCCGAGGGAGCAAAGCCTGGCCCGCCAAATAACAAATTCCTGGAGCACCGAAGAATACGCACTCTCTATAGTGAACCTCAGAAAGAATCTCCAAAGGTAAGGAGAGAGGCAGGAAGGCCTGGAGACGATCATTGGCATTCAAACCTCTGCAGGAGATCATAGCTTGCTTTGAGACCCAGGTGTAGATGTTGCCCCTTTGACATGCAACATAGTAGCACACATCAAAAAGGGGCAAGGCAGGCATTGTGACACCGTGAAATAGTTTTCTCTCTCTCCCCAATCCTTATAGAATGGCGAGAAAGGGATCACAAGAGAGTAAGTCGGCACATCATGGGGTCTCTTTCTCCACTCTCCTCATAGAATGGAGCAATTGGAGAGAAAGGGATTGCAAGAGAGTAAGACAGCACACCATGGGGAATTTGCTGGGCTGTTTGCATGGTGTGCTTGTGGCTGCCAGCACACTGCTTTTGATGTGGCCCTGTCTGTGAACGGTGCTGCTGAAAGATTGGAGAAGTGGAATCTGAGATATAAGGGGCTCGACGCTAAATGAGCTTTTGCGGTTTAGGAAAATGCAAAGAGATTATTTATCCAGCTTATTTTTTTTTTCACCTGTCTGATTACCTTCCTCAGCCATTCTCATCTCTCCTGAATACACATTAATGTATATTTGCTTACTTGCTGCCTTGTATCACCGTAGTCCAGTGGTTCTCAACCTTTTTAATGCCGCGACCCCCAACCGGTCGTAAGTCGAGGACTACTCAACCGGTCATAAGTCGAGGACTACTCAACTGGTGCAGCACCGTTCGCAGAATGGGACTTTTGGCGGGCTCAGCAGGGCAGAGACAGCCTGGACAATTCCTATTGGCTTCTGAAAGCCAATAGAATTAGACTCTATTCAAGAGAGTCTATTCTATTGGCTTTCAAAAGCCAATAGAATAAAAGGGAGTAGCACAGCTAAGGAAAAGGGGGGAAAAAATGGCGGACTGCGTTGTTTGGTGACCCCCGTGAAATGGTCGTTTGACCCCAAATGGGGTACTGACCCACAGGTTGAGAACCACTGCCGTAGTGTCTGGATAATCCCCTGGCATTTCCTGCCTCCTCCGGGCACTTCTGTTGCCTCTTATGTGCAATTCTCTATCTAAATTCACTTTTTCGCACTTTCCCTCCCTTCCCTGTGTCTGTCGTGACCGTCCTTCACCCTGATGGACTTGTTGGTTCCGACCAGGTGGAGAAACCCAGTCCTCAGCCTTCTAAGCCAAAAAAGACGACCCCAAGCCATAAATCTGTGAAAAAGCCCAAAGATAAGCAGATGGCAACCAGCCGGGCATCCAAGAAGAAAAGCACGGAAGCAGCCAGCAGAACGCCAACGGCCGAGGACAAGGAGAAAAGTAAAGAAATTAACAATAAGTTGGCTGAAGCTAAAGAGTAATTCACTGCAGTTACTTGGCTGTTTTTCCTGTCTCTCTGTTTATTTCTCCTTCCTTCCTTCCTTCCTTCCTTCCTTCCTTCCTTCCTTCCTTCCTTCCTTCCTCGCCACATAATTAATTAGAGACTTCTAATCAGCGTATGCTCTGACTGTATTAGAAGCTCTTTCTGTTGGGTTTTTAAGGAGATAAAAAATCTTCTTTAATGGGCAAGGAAGAGCACATTTCTCCACATGGGCATGACGGTTTTAGCGGAAAAATGGGAGCAGAGCTGGAGGTTTCCTCATCCTAAATTTATGAAACAAATTGGGTGGCATCTTTGCTTCTAAAACTCAGGAAGCTGGTTGGGTTATAGGCAAAAAGGATGGGGGGGGGAGAGAAGAGGCAGGTGTTTTTCCAAAGGAAGCAAAATGGGGTGTTAAACTATTTCCAGCTCTCTTCAAATCAAATTCACATTTCCAAAGCTGGGGAAACTGCAGCTGTGCTGAAAGACAATCCTTAGCAATTATTATTATTATTTGAACTGGTACAACAGCCTGACACACAAGATAATATCTACAACACAAACTAGGAAATACAGGTAGTCCTCAACTTAACGAACACAACCGAGGCTCAACATTACGTTGCTTAAGCAAGACAGTTTGTTCAGTGAGTTTTGCCCCCATTTTACGACCTTTCTTGCCACAAGTCGTTAACTGAATCACTGCAATTGTTAAGTCATTAACCCAGCTCTTAAGTGAATTATGGCTTCCCCCATTGACTTTGCTTGCCAGAAGGTCGTAAAAGGAGATCTCGGGACACTGCCACCGTCGTAAATACGAGTCAGTTGCCCAGGCATTTGAATTTTGATCACGTGACCACGGGGATGCTGCAACGGTCGTGTGAAAATTGGTCCCAAGTGTGAAAGTTGGTTCATAAGTCTCTTTTTCCAGTGCCGTTGTAACTGTGAACGGTCACTAAATGAACCGTCGAAAATCGAGGACTTCCTGTATTAACAAAATCGCAAAATCAATAAATAACACCAGGGTTTCCTGCCTGAGCAGGGGGTTGGACTAGATGACCTCCAAGGTCCCTTCCAACTTTATTATTATTATTATTATAAATAAGATTCCAAAGGCAACATAAGAGACTGGCCCCTGGCATTCATGAACATCTGGGTGAACTGCCTCATGATTTTTTTTTTCCTCACAGTTTGAATAAACCAGATCCTCAGCCCTTGCTATGAATTAAACAAACATTTTCAGTCCTGATCCGCACGTTACATGCCTGCTTGTGCAAATCCTTCTCTGTCCGTTCACACTTGCCTGACCCCACATAACCTTTTAACACTTTTCAATTTAAATGCTGGGTCAGTCTTGGGAGAGCAGATGGAAGGTAATGGTGCTGATCCAGATGTGCTGAGATCGGCCTCACAAAAGCTTTTAATAATAATAATAATAATAATAATAATAATAATAATAATAATAATAGTAGTAGTAGTAGTAGTAGTAAAGTTGGAAGGGACCTTGGAGGTCATCTAGTCCAACCCCTTGCTCGGGCAGGAAACCCTACACCATTTCGGACAAATGGCTGTCCAGTCTCTTCTTAAAAACTTCCAGTGTTGGAGCATTTACTGCTTCTGGAGGCAGGTTGTTCCACTGGTTAATTGTTCTCACTGTCAGGAAGTTTCTCCTTAGTTCTAGGTTGCTTCTCTCCTTGATTAGTGTCCACCCGTTGCTTCTTGTCCTGCCTTCAGGTGCTTTTAAGAAGAGGAGAGCCATTTGTCTGAAATGGGGTAGGGTTTCCTGCCTGAGCAGGGGGTTGGACTAGATGACCTCCAAGGTCCCTTCCAGCTCTGCTGTTCTGCTATTCCCTTTTTTTTTTTTTTTTGCTCTCATGCATATGCCTCCAAGAAGAGTAGATCCATCAAAATGGATCTATCAGTTGTCCTGGTTGATTCATTTTCCCAATTCAGCCCAGCATTTCTTCCCCCCCCCCAAAAAAGGGACATTGGATCTTAGGAATTTCAGGTTTTCCACCAATCTCTCTGCTCTTGGCATTGTGTGATCCAGGACAGAGTTTTTATTGGAAACAAATGAAATAGGAAGCCGGCATTAGAGGCCTCGTTAACTCTCCCTTCTTGCAAACTAGCCTAGCGCAGGGGTAGGCAACCTTGGCTCTTTTATGACTCGTGGACTTCAACTCCCAGAATTCCTGAGCCAGCATGAGGGAAACTTTGGCCCCTTCATGACTCGGGGACTTCAACTCCCAGAATTCCTGAGCCAGCATGAGGGAACTGTGGCCCCTTCATGACTCGGGGACTTCAACTCCCAGAATTCCTGAGCCAGCATGAGGGAACTGTGGCCCCTTCATGACTCGGGGACTTCAACTCCCAGAATTCCTGAGCCAGCATGGCTCAGCTAGGAAACCTCTCCCTTTCCCCTCAGCATGGCTGGCTCAGGAATTCTGGGAGTTGAAGTCCACGAGTCATAAAAGAACCAAGGTTGCCTATCCCTGGCCTAGTGTGAGTGAGGATGTCCATCAAACATGCCGTTTTGCCAGTGGGGAAAAATATCCCTGGCACCCATTTTGTGAAGGCGCTCACGACCTGCTTTCAGAAGTCCAGATGTGACAGGTTGCCTATCAAAAAACTCTTGACCTGTCTGCTCTAACGCTAAATATTGCAAGTGGGAAGAACTGTGGGGACTTTAAAGCCACCCATCTTGACAGGGCAGAGACTGTTAAAAATTCCATCCAGGAGCGATAATTTATCATCAGTTATATATGCATCATCATTTAACATGGAACAGATTGATTTCATTTCTTTCGGAGAGGGGGGGGAAAGGTGATAAACCTGCCACGCTAAACTTAAGCTGAAACTGGGAGAAATTAAGACTTTTTTGGGATCATTAAGATGTTTCCCTTGCCCATTTTGGATTAAAAAAAAAGAAAAATACAAAAGTATAGAAAAAAATATTTTCCCCTTCTCCTCCTTTGCAAGCAAAATCCGCCACATTTTCTGATATTTTTTTTTAAAGTTTGAAACCGTTCCTTGGCAGACTACGATAATCGGTTCTCGTGCTTGAGCAGGGGGCTGGACTAGAAGACCTCCAAGGTCCCTTCCAGCTCTATTCTATTCTAAACATTCTAAAAACAGCCGTGACATTTCATTGTTTCTTGGCCCCCAAATCGCCAATTCGATTGGGAAATTACACCAACCTAAAGGAAAAGAAGATTTTGCGAGGAAGGAAAGACTAATAATGCTCCAGAGATACTATATCTTGGATTAATTATAAGGGTTATTTCTAGAGCATGAGATTTTTTTTTAAAAAAAAAAACAATACGAAAAATAAGTAGAAATATTGGCCAGGGAGATTGGAGAAATAAGCAGAAATAACTGTTTGCTAGAATTTCCAGGCTAGGAGATATTATTTAATGGGGGGGGAGCACTAGGGATTGGGGGGGGCTGATGGGATGGGGAGGGGGTCCAGTTGTATGATAATATGGGTAACCAACGTGGTTGGCTTGATTCCTGAAAAAAAAAATACAAAAAAAAAATAATACTTGTAGCCTTTTGTGTGTGATGATGTCTGCTAGGGCTTGTGCTGGAATGCTTTCCACTTATAAAGTACGTGTCACGATTACTCTTAACGATGTTATTTCTAAGCCTAGTTGTGCTAGAAATGTAGAGTGTGAAGTTGTTAGCCAAGATTGTGTGTATGTCAGGAAAGGGGGCTGGGGGTGGGAGGGGGGGGGACGGGAGGAAAGAGGGTGAGATTTTTAAAACTCCAGGGCTCTGGAGAAATTTAGGAAAACTCTCAAAAACCAGTTTGACCTTAAAAAATAAATAGTAAAAAAATGCCGATATGATGACGGTTTGCTGCACGCCAAATGCAAATTTTATCCTCGGAGGGCGGATTTTGCGTCCCTGTATGATCCAGCAAAATTCATTTGGGGAAATGGAGGTTGAAATGATATCTACAGGTTGTCCTCGACTTACGACTGAGCCCAAAATATATGTCGCTAATCATGTGAAAACCTCCCCCCAGGGGGACGCTGCGACCATCATAAATACAAGTCAGATGCCAAATGTCTGAATTTTGATCCCATATGGGTGAAAAACGGCCATAAGTCCATTTTTTCCAGTGCCATCGTAATTTTGAACGGTCACTAAACGAAGCGTCTGTCAAGGACTTCCCAAATTGATGTAGAAACAACGGCAAACCTTTTCAAAACCTGCAAGAAAAAAGGAAAAGATTTCTTAGTTTGATCCAGCCACGCTTATTTGCAATTTGCCAGGAGTGGGAATGGGAAAACCAGCATGGAAAGTGCTTGATTGACAGCTTGGAATGGCCCAGAATGGGAAGCAGATGTCTGTCTGTTCCCCTAACTCAGGGTTCCCCAACCGTGGCAACTTTAAGACTTGTGGACTTCAACGCCCAGAATTCCCCAGGCAGCCATGGAATTCTGGGAGTTGAAGTCCACAAGTCTTAAAGTCGCCAAAGTTGGGGACTCCTGCTTTAACTGGCTTATAAATTCAAGGAAAGTTCAACTGTATGTTAAATTTTGGGAGACTTTGATCACCCCAATTGCCCCCCAAATTTACGTTGCTCAGTGAAACACTTGTTAAGTGAGCTTTGCCCCATTTTATGACGTTTCCCACCATAGTTGCTAAGCAAATCCTTGCAGTTAATAACCTGGTTGTTAAAGGGATCTGGCTTCCCCATTGACTTTGCTTGTCGGAACGTCGCAAAAGCGGATCGCACGTGACCCCGGGGCACTGCGACCGTCGTAAGTACGAGTCAGTTGCCGAGGGTCTGAATTTTCATTCCGCGTCCCACGAGGATGCCGTAGCGGTTGCAAATGTGAACACTGTTTGTAACTCCCTTTTTCCCGTGCCGTTGTAAGTTTGAACGGTCACTAAAGGGATCGCTGTAAGTCGAGGACTACCTGTATGTGTGAAAGGTGCATTTTTATGCCTGTCAACTACCCTGCTGCTCTTTGATGCACAAAGACATTCCTGCAAGGGCACACGTGATCGCTGTTGCCGTTCAGGACCCCCATCTTTTCCTCTGAAAATACTGAATATTCTTCTGAAAAGAAAAAAAAAAATGGCTCCGGTAGACACCGTCGGAAATTGGCACGGCCTTTCCCAGCTGGATTATTTGTATGGAAACCAAGATCTGTAGCAGATGGTGATTAGCTAGATTGTGGGTTAGGAGGAGAAAAATAGGCAAGCATGCTGAGGTCGCACTCCCTTAAAGCACCCTGCAAGTTTTGTGGTTGCCTTCCACATCCGCAACACGATCCTGAGGAATATTCCTTGTAGATCCGAAGCAGGCTAGGAAATCTGAAAAGACTTTGACAGTTTTCAAGGAGGGGAGAAGCTGTCTGTCAAGGCCAGATTGTGGAAGGGGAAAAAAAAAAGAATATTTCTCCATTTGGATTTATTAGTTAAATGCAGCGTTCTTGGTTTTTCTCTGATCTGGGTTGTTTTCTTTCAGACGTTTCATTACCCAGCTAGCTAACATCATCCGTGCTAGAAGGGAGTGAGGTTTGTTCTCTCTCTTTATAAATCCCACTCCCTTCTAGCACGGATGATGTTAGCTAGCTGGGTAATGAAACGTCTGCAAGAAAACAACTAAGCTCAGAGAGCATCCAGGACAGTTTAATCCTGAGCTAAAAACATTCTCTTCTGTCGATATGAGTTCAATAAAATGTAATCACTGTCTGATCTTTGTGTAACCTGCACAGTAATGAAATATCCCCTTCTTATGGATACAGAAGAAGCAACAGTCATCTACAAGTGTTTTCACTTTGCTGGTTAACACCCAAGTGTCTCTTTTAATCCCAGGCATAAGCTGTCTGGTTTTTATGTTCTATGCTAATGTTATATTCTCTTTTTTAGAACGGTGTTTCTCAAACTTGGCCATTTTGAGACGTGTGTGGACTTCAACTCCCAGAATCCTCCAGCTGGGAGATACTGGGAATTGAAGTCTATATATGCTGGCTGGAGAATTCTGGGAACTGAAGTCTATAACATGTTGGCTAGGGAATTCTGAAAGTTGAAGTCCGCCCATGCTGGCTAGGGAATTCTGGGAGTTGAAATCTACACATGCCAGCTGGGGAATTCTGGGAGCTGAAGTCCACACAGCTTAAGTGGCCAAATTTGAAATCTTCTGCTTTACAGCATCATTTCCAGATTGGTGCCCAGCAGATGAGTTTAGATGAACAGTCCCGAGATTCCACTCAGAGTTGCAATACTGAATGGAGACAAATTTGTCAAAGTTTAGTTGCTTCTTGTTGTTGTTTTTTTAAAGTAAATTTTGTAAACGAAGTCCCATTCATCATCTTCAGGCTGGTGTTTTCAGCTTCGTGCTTCGAGCAGCAAACAACTCTATATGTATATGTATGTATGTAGGTCTTTGGTTATTTGGGTTTTCTCCTGCGTCAAATTGGAAGTGTCTTGGCGACGTTTCGACGAAGTCTCATTCGTCATCTTTAGGCTGATGTTTTCGTCACCTTCAGGCTGATGTTTTTGTCATCTTCAGGCTGGTG